GCTTAGTTATAATTAAAAAAAATAGGAAATTAAATTTTCGTTAAATGCGACAAAAAATTTTTTCAGTTTTACAGTAAATACAGATAAAAAAACATTAAGTATTTGTTTTTAAATGCAGACAAAATACATAACGTCCCCAAATTTTAATTAATAAAAATTTTTAAAATAAGGGCTTTTTTGCTATTAGGCAACTGCAAAAAATTCAACACTTTTTCTTCATTAGCTGAAAACGAAGCCTGAGTATGTTGTCCTGAAATATATGGGTCAGGATAAAAAAAATATTAATAAAGCCTTTTCAATATTTTTTAATGCAAAATAACCCAAGGGAAAAACATATCCAAAATCAACTTTAAAAAAAAAAGCCCGGAAAAGCAACCAACAAATTTTAAAAAAGACAAGTAGCCAATATGAAAAATTAAATTTCAAATAATGCTTCCACCCTTTCCAAAATGTGTAAAATTTTATAGTTAGCATAGAATTTATTTGGGGTCTCTTAGTTACAATAAAAATTTTAAAAGTTTTATTTTACTTCTTTTTTTATACATGAATGAAGGGCCAGTTTTGTTGGGGTTAAGCAAGCAAGCAACATTTTTGACTATCTAAAAAAATCAAAACTGAAGCTGAGGAAGCGGTTGTGTTGATGGTTTTTAAAGTGCAGAAAAAAATTTTAAAAATGCCAGGATAGTGATAGTGATGTGGTTGCAAAAACAGGAATGAAAGTTTTGGTTATTTCCCAAGATGAAAAAAAAAAAAGAACCCTTTTGGGAAATGAAAAAAGTACTTTTCATGAATATGTCAATGAAACAGCTTTTGAAGTTTATGTTTCCCAAAAAAGACCCCAAAACCAAACCCCCAAATATTGTTTTTTGGGTGGAAAAGAAAAAAATAATAGTTTGACAAAGTAATGAAAAAGGGTGATGAAAAGGGTCTTTTATTTAACTGAAAAGTGTTACCTCAACTTTATTGTAACAAAGCACTTACTATTTTTTTTTATTACCAAATCAAAAAATGGAAGTTGGAAGTAGATTCATGAGTCCCAAATGATGGGGTGGTAATGAAAAAAAAAATTTTATTATTACCACATTCCACTCATGCCCCACTGTGCGTAGCGCAAGAAAAATGGTTTGATGTGTTAAAAAGTTGTGCTCATGTTATGTAGTGGGTGTGAAAAAAAAAATGGAAACTGAAACTCAGATAATAGCGAAATTTTATCGAAGAAGGTTTCATGCTGGAGATTTTTTGTCATAACCCAAACTTTTTTTTTTTTTTTTTTTTGCATTAAAAAATTTAGAACAGTGAAAAATAATAAAAATTTACTATTTTTTTCCAATCCATCGTTGTTTAATTTTCCAACTGGGTTAGTCATGGGGGAAAGAAAGCTAAAAAAACCTGACTGGTTTGAAAAGCCTCCTTACATGAGTGGACAAATTTACTTTAACAAAGCCAAGCAAGCATTCCTTGCCAAAAAAAAACTCAAATTTTCCTTTGCATGGGATCTTTAAAATTTTTAAAATTTTGTTTTATGTAATACTTTTTTGCCCATTTTAGTTCTTGTTTTTTTTTTTGGTTTGCTTAACCTTTTAGGGTTTTTACTAACTGTACGGCTTATGCATGGGTTTTTTGCGATAGTGCTTAAATTCTAGCGCCTTCAAATTAGTGAGAGAAAACTGGTGGTTAAAATGAAAGATGGGTTATGTGGTCAGTGTGCACAGTATAAAAAAAAATCTGCAGCCACAGTGTGTAATGGAAAAAAAAAACTTTGACCCCTGGTTTTGGTTTAAAACAGGACTTTGCACTGTATTTTTGATGGTATTTTGGTTGTATTCTAGTTTTCCCGGTCTCATTTTAGAATGGAAGACAATTTTTTAGCAAAAAGAGATATTTTGATTGGTTTTTACAATGAAAAGTACCCTTTAAATTGAGCTCAAAGTAGAAGAAATGTTCAATTTTTTTTTCCGAAGTTCAAAAAAAACAAAAACTGCCCCGGTCCAATACACGTAATGGTGAAACTATATTCTTTCACAAGTGGTGGTGTTATTTTACCATTTAAATAATGCAGTAGTCTGCATAACGTAAATGGTTTTTTTTTGTGAGAATAAAAAATTTAAGTGGAAAACAAAAGAATGTAAAAAGGGGCCGGGGCATGACTATGAACAGAGGAAAAGTTATTTTGTGCAGGAATGTCGTCTTGTTATTTGGACCCCTTTTGGAAATTGACACTTTTGAAATTTGTGTGAAAAATTGGCAAAAATTTTTAATTCTGATACTTTATTGGTAGTTGAAATCGGTAAAAGGCGGTTTCTTTTTTTTTGGAATTTGGAAATTTGGGATCTTTTGAAATTTGTGTGAAATTGGCAAAATTGTAATTTTGACCCCCCTTATGGATGATGAAACGGTAATGGGTGGTTTTTTTTTACTCATTCGATGGAAAAAAGGAAAAAATTTTAGATAATGCTAGTTTTTGTCGATGTACATTGGAATTGGCCGAAAAAAAGGGTAAAAAAGGGCAAAAATCGCCGATGGTAAAACATCATCGAGACCGCAAATTCACGAGGCTAATTCCCAAGTTTTCCATCAAATTTTAAATTTGGTGTCATTGATCGAGAAAAAATTTTCCATTTTCATAAAAAAAATTATTTTTTTTTTCCCCAAAAAAATTTCGCCCCGAGAAAATTTAGGAGAGGGCTCTCGACCTGAAAGAGTTAACAGAAAGCAAAGGGATGGGAAGGGTGCTTATTAGTTGTATAATGGCATCTCCACTATGAATCTGTACATAAAATCTGGCCCTTTTCTTTAAGTAAGGCCTTCCCTTTTTCCAGTCTCCGTTTGAAATCACCCTGAATTTGATATGAAGCAAGCCTGCTGATAGTGAAACTTTTGGCAATAAAGAGTACTAAATGTTGCATGCCTTATTCATCGGTTCTTACGTGTGTAGAGAATGGGAGGCATCAGGTTGAGAATTTCTTTATTCGATTAACCCCCGGGTAGCTAACGTCACGTAATTAGGAGATTAACTTCATTGGGATCCTTAATCCCCTTCCCCCAGAATGCGACCCCAGCAAAAATAAACCCCGTATTTATTCAGGTAAACAGGGGCAGTAGTTAAAGGGGAAAACCCGCCAGCCAAAAATTTTCCCCCTGTCCCGGAAACAATAATTGGTCCTTTAGCTATGAGCTGAGACTGTACCCGTGAACCCTGAGCATCGACCCCAATTAGGGATGTATGTTGAATTCCCGGGCGGATCCCCCTTTTTCGTGCCCAAAAATTCCCTTGAGGTTTAAATTTTGTAAAACCTAAAAAAAAAACCATTACAATAATATATTTCTAAAATTAAGTGCTTTATTTAGGCACAGGTACACAAAAGTACAAATTCATACATGCGTAAATTACCGGATAACCCCCCTTATTTTTATAAAAGGGAAGCGCTAAACCCGTAGGATTATACGGTGTGGGGGGGGGTGTTTGGTGGTATTCGGGGTTAATTTAGGGAAGGAGCACAGTCCAATTCCCTACATCAAGAGCCCCTCCCATCGTCAAGGAACCTTTCCCCGAGGGGGGGAAAACCCCCCCCCCCCCCCAAAAAAAAAAGTAAAATGACTTATTTCAATTCCACCCCAAAGGTGAATTTTAGAGTAGGGGTTAATTTTTGTCCCCTCCCCATAGTGGTACGTTTTTCACTCAGTAGCTTTTCCTTTTTTTTAAACACCCGAAGTTTACTTAGGTGTCTAACATTGGTGACACTGACCCCCTTTGTCATTGTTGGGGTGATTTGGGCCACCCAAAATTTGGGGCTTTTTTGAACCCTACTTCCCGGGGTCCGGAAAAAAAAAATATTGCTCAGATTGGGCCCCCCAAGGAAAAGGGTTCCCTTTGGGGTTGGTGAGGAGCTCTTTATTTAGGGAATTGGATCTGTGCCCGTTCCCCCAATTAAGCCCGATGCCTTCCCCACCCCCCCCCGGGTGTATAATCCTCCCGGGTTTTGGCTTCCCTTGATTTTAATAATAATAATCAGATCTGAACGGGGGGAGTTATAAAGAAACAAAGTTTCCTAGGAAATAGAACCGGGAAAATTAATGCACAGTTTAGATCGATGGATCCCAGGCTTAAAAAATTGGGGAGGCCCGGAGACTTTTCCCAAAAAAAACACGTTTCCATTCCAACAAACGCCAGTGTGAATCCTGTCCACTCATAAAGTTTGGAGTCAATGTTGTAAGACATTTAATTAATTTTATTCAGGTACAGTTACACAAATTCAATTAAGATTTTTTAGGTACAGGAGCTCATACGTACAGTTTACGTGCAGTCTTTGCCAGCCGTGGCCTGCCTGGCAAAGTAGTAGTAGTAGTAGTATAGTAGTAGTAGTAGTAGTAGTAAATAGTAGTAGTAGTAGTAGTAGTAGTAGTAGTAGTAGTAGTAGTAGTTTGTTGTTGTTGTTGTTGTTGTTGTTGTTGTTGTTGTTGTTGTTGTTGTTGTTGTTGTTGTTGTTGTTGTTGTTGTTGTTGTTGTTGTTGTTGTTGTTGTTGTTGTTGTTGTTGTTGTTGTTGTTGTTGTTCTTGTTGTTGTTGTTGTTCTTGTTGTTGTTGTTGTTCTTGTTGTTGTTGTTGTTCTTGTTGTTGTTGTTGTTGTTGTTGTTGTTGTTGTTCTTGTTGTTGTTGTTCTTGTTGTTGTTGTTCTTGTTGTGTTCTTGTTGTTGTTCTTGTTGTTGTTCTTGTTGTTCTTGTTGTTGTTCTTGTTGTTGTTCTTGTTGTTGTTCTTGTTGTTCTTCTTGTTGTTCTTCTTGTTGTTCTTCTTGTTGTTCTTCTTGTTGTTCTTCTTGTTCTTCTTGTTGTTGTTGTTCTTCTTCTTCTTCTTCTTCTTCTTCTTCTTCTTCTTCTTCTTCTTCTTCTTCTTCTTCTTCTTCTTCTTCTTCTTCTTCTTCTTCTGTTGGGTTTCAGGGCCACTGACAGCATACGCCGTATCGAGCCCGGCCGTCCAGTGCTAGAGAGGAAGTATCGACCAAAGTGGAAGAATGTCTTGACTAATAACTATGTATCATATGTCTCTGATACGCCCTGAAGCCAGCAGGAAGGAGCAGGTACAGGCCAATATCTCCTGATGGTCCAGAGGGCGAAACCCCTTCCCGTTGAGGAGGACAGGTAGAGTGAAAGTGTGTACCCCAAGTGTGCGCAAGGCCGGACGGAGAGTAGTCCGTGCAGAGTGATAACGTCGGCACCATAGCAGGAAGTGTTCCACTGTCTCAGGCTGTAAGGGGCACCGCGGGCAGTACAGAGAGTCCGTCATCCGAAGGCGATATAGATGAACCGCCAATCGCGAGTGCCCGACTCGAAGGCGAGTCAGTGCAACGTCCACCGAGCGGTTGGGATGGCGAGCCCAAGGGCAGGGGCCATTAAAAGTTCGGACAGAGCCCAATGCCGAAGAAGAGAGAGAATGTGCAAGGCCCTCTTGCCACTGATGACGGATTCCCTTCCAAACAGCCCTTGTGAAATCACTGTGGCCCAGGGCAAGAGGGGTAACAGTAGGAAGTGTGTGCGCGAGGGAGGCCGCCCGATCTGCCACTTCATTACCCCAGATTCCAACATGGGCGGGAACCCACTGAAGGTAGATGCTCCAACCTGGGCTCCGCAAGAAGCGCAGGAGGAGAGATTGTGTCCGACAAACGAGGACGCGCAGTGATCGTGGACGGGCAGAGCACAAAAGTGCCAGGGAAGATTGGGAATCTGAGAAGAGAACCAATGGTTGTGGGGGAATGTGATCTAGGACAAAAGCCAGAGCCTGGTGAATGGCGGAAGAGCTCACCTGCCTGAACAGAATGAGCAGGGTCCAACCGCCACGTTTGACACAGAGAGATTAGCGAAGAAGGAAGGCCGCAGATGATGTGGAAGGGGGGAAGGACCATGCCGAGCCATCCATATAGACGGAGAATGAAGAGCCGTATGTAACAGAGCGAAACTCTTCAAATAGAAATGCAACTAACTGAGGGGTTTCCCTGTTCCTGTGGTGCCAATCCAGGTGAATGTATCGTGTCAGGTCCAGCCAGGGGGGTGCCGGAGAGTGGAGAGGGGAGGGAGTCATCACAAGTGCAGGAAGAGTAAGGCAGGACAGGGAATGCTGGGCCCTGGCTACAAAGAAAGGCTGAGCCAAACGTGGGGGGACAGAGGCTGTCTCCCACATCTGTGAAGAGAGGCGACAGGGGTGAGTACAAGGCAGAGAGGCCATATGACGGAGTCGTAAACAGTTCCTCGCTGTCCTCACCGACAAGAGAGGGACTATCCCCGACTCTGCCTCCAAGGCTGCGATAGGGGTGGAGGGAAATGCCCCCAGCATATTACAGATGGCTAAATTCTGGAGAATGTCTGAACGATGAAGAGAGGAGGAAGAAGCCGAGCCGTACACCTCACTCGCATAAGTGAGCTTGCTGCAAACCATAGCTATATAGAACTTATAGAGAAGGTCTCGATCCGCCCCCCACTTGGTGCCAGAGATCCGGCGCATAAGTGCAATGCGACATGCACATGAGAGGTGAAGGGCCGCCATGTGTTTCTTCCATGTCAAGAATGGTCCTAAGAAGCAAGATCACCACCCATCTAGAAACCCATCAGTTACACAACCCAGGGCAACATGGGTTTAGAACAGGTCGCTCCTGTCTGTCTCAACTATTGAATCACTACGACAAGGTCCTAAATGCACTAGAAGACAAAAAGAATGCAGATGTAATATATACAGACTTTGCAAAAGCCTTCGACAAGTGTGACCATGGCGTAATAGCGCACAAAATGCGTGCTAAAGGAATAACAGGAAAAGTCGGTCGATGGATCTATAATTTCCTCACTAACAGAACACAGAGAGTAGTCGTCAACAGAGTAAAGTCCGAGGCAGCTACGGTGAAAAGCTCTGTTCCACAAGGCACAGTACTCACTCCATCTTGTTCCTCATCCTCATATCCGACATAGACAAGGATGTCAGCCACAGCACCGTGTCTTCCTTTGCAGATGACACCCGAATCTGCATGACAGTGTCTTCCATTGCAGACACTGCAAGGCTCCAGGCGGACATCAACCAAATCTTTCAGTGGGCTGCAGAAAACAATATGAAGTTCAACGATGAGAAATTTCAATTACTCAGATATGGTAAACATGAGGAAATTAAATCTTCATCAGAGTACAAAACAAATTCTGGCCACAAAATAGAGCGAAACACCAACGTCAAAGACCTGGGAGTGATTATGTCGGAGGATCTCACCTTCAAGGACCATAACATTGTATCAATCGCATCTGCTAGAAAAATGACAGGATGGATAATGAGAAACCTTCAAAACTAGGGATGCCAAGCCCATGATGACACTCTTCAGGTCACTTGTTCTATCTAGGCTGGAATTATTGCTGCACACTAACAGCACCTTTCAAGGCAGGTGAAATTGCCGACTAGAAAAATGTACGAGAACTTTCACGGCGCGCATAACGGAGATAAAACACCTCAATTACTGGGAGCGCTTGAGGTTCCTAAACCTGTATTCCTGGAATGCAGGAGGGAGAGATACATGATTATATACACCTGGAAAATCCTAGAGGGACTAGTACCGAACTTGCACACGAAAATCACTCACTACGAAAGCAAAAGACTTGGCAGACGATGCACCATCCCCCCAATGAAAGCAGGGTGTCACTAGCACTTTAAAAGAGACCATACAATAAGTGTCAGGGGCCCGAGCCTGTTCAACTGCCTCCCAGCACACATAAGGGGGATTACCAACAGACCCCTGGCAGTCTTCAAGCTGGCACTGGACAAGCACCTAAAGTCAGTTCCTGATCAGCCAGGCTGTGGCTCGTACGTTGGTTTGCGTGCAGCCAGCAGCAACAGCCTGGTTGATCAGGCGCTGATCCACCAGGAGGCCTGGTCACAGACCGGGCCGCGGGGGCGTTGACCCCCGGAACTCTCTCCAGGTAAACTCCAGGTAATCTAAGGTGACTCCCAACCAACGATGAGAAGAGACCAAAGGGATTGGCGTCTGGTTCAATGAGACTGATGGAAGAGTGGGGAGTCGGCGTCTAGTAAAGCATAAGAGCTTGGACTTAGTGTCACTAACCTCCAAACCCCAGGTGGCCCATGATGTTATGCATTGCAGGGCACCCTGAAGTGTTTCCTGTGCTGTCAGTAAAGCTGGGGCACTACACATAAGGGCCACATCATCCGCATATACCAGGGTATGCACTCCCTGGATGGAAGGGAGATCCGACAATAAGACAGAGAAAAGGAGTGGGCTAAGAACAGATCCCTGGGGCACTCCCTAGTATACAGGACAGGGTGAGGACAAAGCGCCACCCACTGCTACACGAAAGGTCCTCCCTTGCAAAAAGTTGCGCATCCAGCAGAGGGGAGCTCCTGTCAGTCCCATGCGGGCCAGCTTGAAAACAATTGCTGTGTGTGATGCAGAGTCAAATGCTCTGCGTAGGTCCAAAAATGCAGCCAAAAGGAACTCCCGACATTCAAATGAAGTGTGCACAAGCTGTGTAAATTGAAGCAAAGGGCCGAGGGTGGACCGACCTTCTCGGAAGCCACTTTGGTTATCAGGCAGGAGGCCATGTTCCTCAATCCACCAGGAGAGACGAGTAGCCACCAGTCGTTCCAGCACCTTACCCAAGCAGGGCAGTAGAGCAATAGGCCAGTAAGAGCTCGGTTGGGTATCATCCTTGCCCGGCTTTAGAATCGGAATCAGAAGAGAGTGTTTCCACATATCAGGGAAGACACCTGTATACAAGCTGGTATTGAAAACCTCGAGCATAGCTTCTGTACAGGAGCGAGGTAGATGTAGTATAAAAAATAGGGTAAGTTGTCTTCCCCTGGAGAAGAGCGAGAAGAAAGTTGGGAAAGTGCCCGCTGCAATTCATGGGAGGTAAAGGGAGATGCCAGCACCTGGCAGTGAACCTCGGGTATGGCAGGTGGCAAAGGGCCCCATTTGATCACCTTAGACTTAGAGGATAGAGGAGGAGGAGGAGAAAACATAGGACCAAAGAAATTTGCAAATGTCTCAGCCTTGTCCTGGGGTAAGAGTGGAGTAGCTCCTTCCCCCAGCAGGGAAAAAGTACTTACAGAACGTGATCCCAACATGAAGTGGAAGAAACCCCATGCCTGACTGGCAGAGGTACGAAAAGAAAGAAAAGAACAGAATAAAGCCCAGGATGCACGTTTCACTTGGAGGAGGGTTTGCCGACAAAGAGCGTCTGCCTTTCGGTAAGCCAACTGCTGAGTCCGAGAGGGTTGGCACTGCCACCGTGCCCACGCTGTCCGACGCGCCTTCACTGCTCAGAGGCACTCATCATTCCACCATGGAACCCGGGGCTGTGAACGGGAGAAGCTCCCGGAGAGACAGAATGAACGCGAGCCCGCCTCAAGCATGGCCCCTTGCAGAGATGCTACAGCCTCGTCCAGCAAGGAGTCCTGAGGCAGGCTGTAATCAGCAAGGGCCCGATTATAGTTTGTCCAACCAGCCTGGGTGATTTTCCACCGTTAACGAACTGCTGTCACCGGCACTGCTAAGGCTTCATTTGTAGAAGTAAGGACTGGAAGATGGTCACTCCCCCTGAAGGGGCCTACGTAACAGTAGCTGTAGTAAAATATCCACACCCCAAAAACGAGGTCTAGTTTTAGAAACTCGCCGGTATTAGGATCCACTCTAGTCTCCCAAAACCCGGTGGGTGTAGTGAGAAAGGTGAGATGTGAGGAGGGTTTGGGAACAGGCCCTACCTGTGGGATTCACCGATCCCAAAGAAATGGGTGGCTCCCCGAACTGGTGCCTTGCAAATTTAAAATTTTCCTATCACAAAACGTAGAACCACAGAGTTGTCCAAAGTAATAGGTAAATTCACTTTGTGTAACCGACCTGCCCGGATTATAGATCAGGAGTATGTTGCACCACTGAGTGCCCAAGGCAACTCTCACAGCCAGTTTCCAACACTCCATTCTCATAGGCTTGGAGAGAGAGGGTCGTCCTCTAAAGCTGGTTGCATACAAGAAGAGCTAGGCCACCTCCACTCCCTGCAAGGCAATCCCTACGGTAAACAGTGAAACCAGGCATCCGAAGAGAATGTCGAGGGCATAGCCATGTCTCAGAGAGACCCACCACCAGTAGCTGTACCTCAGCCAGAGAACCGAGAGACATGCAGTCACAAAAGAGGTGCCCTGGAGGTAAGAATGTAACACTTCCTCAACCAGGAGGAGGATAGGATGAAGGAATAAAGCCCAGGCAGGCGAGAGTGAGAAAGCGGGACCCTCAGATATGAAGGGTCCTGGAGTGGAGACAGGCCGAGGATGGGGTTGAGGAGAATTAGGGGGGGAGTCGGCTGCTAGACGGGAGGCTCCGGGTCGGGTATGATGTCCATCTGAACTGGGCGGGGCTCTGAGCAACGAGTCATTTGGAAATTCCACCTCAAGGAAGGGGACTGTTGAGGCGAGGGGCATTGCCCAAAAATTTCTGCACGGAAGCAGGGTCCGAGGACACCCGAGTTGAATTTGCCCGGGGGTGGGAAACCTCTAAAGGAAAGAAGGTCCACAAAGCCCCAAACCGATTGTAACAGGGAATTAGCCCTCACAGCTGCGGAGTTACAGATGCCCCCGCGTGGGGGGTATTGGGCGAGACTCCTTATGGGGGGCACTGGAGTAAGGGGAGGGGTGACGGAACTGTGACAGGGTTTAAGAACCGCAAGCAGGAGTTACATTCATCGAAACGAAAAGACTGGGCCCTGCAGTTGCCAAACAAGAGCCTGCGATATGTTTGGGGAAGACAGGGATGTAACCTTGTGGTTCTCTTTCGAAGTAGCATGAGCCGGGCGGTACAGGTAATGCAACTTAACTATTGGGTAAACCCCTGCAGTTCGCAATCTACCTTTCACGGCAAGACAACTCTCCATGCCTTAAAAAGGGAAAAATTCCGAACATGGGTAAGGAAAAGTATAAGGAAGAACAGAAAAATCTTAGATTGCCAAAAGTCACAAATTTCGGGAGAGCACCCGAGAAACATACACGAACCATACAAGGGATGGGGTGGGAAGTTTCCCAAAGAGGCCCCAAAAACCTCCCAAAACCAAAGCCCGTCCCCCCCCACTGTAAACCCAAATTTTCGAGGGGATCTCCTCATTGAGAGGGATGAAGAAATCTGCCCAAATTTTGCCTTTAACAAAACCAGCAGCGGGGTTTTAGGAGGGAAACCCCCCATCAGACAAAAATTCCACCTCCCCCGGCCCATGAATGGCATTTGGGTGGAAAATTTTTCTAGTCAAAAAGATTTAACGATGGAGCGGGACCTTGGGGCTGCCCCCCTACCGTTTTTTTTGGGTTTTTGGATGCCCTTTTAAAAACCCCTTTGGGGCAAGGGGCCCTTGGGGGGGCGAAAGGAAAAATTTAAATTGTTTTGGTTTTTGTTTGGTTGGTCCCATTGGGGTTGGGTTGAAGGGAGCTTTTAAACCGCCCCAACCCTTTTTAGGATCCCAGGGGGGAACCACCTTTCCCGGGGAGTAAAATTTTGAAGGAGAGGAAAAGGG